CCTCCTGGACATGGTGCAGGGCTGCACAGTGTTCAGCAAAGTCGACCTCAAATCTGGCTACCACCAGATTGAGATGGCAGAGGAGGATGTCTACAAGACAACCTTCAAGACCAGGTATGGGACTTACGAGTTCCTGGTCATGCCATTTGGACTTTGCAACGCCCCAGGCACCTTCCAGACAGAGATGCACCGCATCTTCAGGCCTTACCTGGACAAGTTTATGGTTGTCTACTTGGATGGTATCCTGGTATTCAGCAAAACTGCCAGGGAACATGCGTAGCACTTGGCTCTTGTCCTTCAGTCGTTACGTGACAACCAGTACAAGATCAACAGAGAGAAGTCCTCCTTTGGAGTCCCCTCTGTCATCTATCTGGGTCATGTAATCTCTGGAGATGGTCTGGCTCCTGAAGCAGCCAAGATTGCTGCTATTCAGGAGTGGCCTCAACCTCAGACAGTGAGGGATGTCAGGTCCTTCATGGGTTTAGCCTCCTACTACAAAAAGTTTGTCAGGAACTTTTCTGTAGTGGCTGCACCCCTGACTAACCTAACAAGGAAGGGCACTCCCTTTCCTTGGTCCCTCCACTGCCAGTTGGCCTTCACACGACTCAAGAAGGCCTTGACTCGTGCGCCTGTGCTGAAGTTACCTGACCCCATTTTGCCATTCATCCTGACCACTGACACCAGTCAGTATGGCATTGGGGCAGTTCTTCAGCAGGATGATGGGAATGGTCTACGGCCTGTAGAGTTTATGAGTAAGAAGATAAAGACTCAAAAGCTCCAGGACTCCACGTACGAGAAAGAGCTATATGCTCTTGTCTGTGCCCTGAAACATTGGAAACACTTTCTCCTGGGTAGGCAGGAATCTGCAAGCACATCCTAATTCTGAACCAGGCTATGCTCTGAGTTCAGACGTGCTGTATACTTGCAGCAGAGGTGAGGAGCGCTTGTGCATTCCCCAGGACCAGCGGCTCAAGACACTGCTGATGTCAGAGTGTCATGACTCCCGTGGACATTTTGGGTTCCTAAAGTCTTATGCAGCCCTGTCGCAACGCTTCTTCTGGAAGGAGATGCGGAGTGATATGCTGCATTATGTGGACACCTGTGAGCTCTGCCAAAGGAATAAGGTCCAACGTAGACCTCCTTTGGGACTACTCAAACCCTTACCCATACTTGATGGCCCTGCTAAATCTGTGTCGATAGACTTCACAAATTTAGGCAAGACCACCCCTCGTGGCATGCGTCAGGTTATGGTCTGCGTGGACAGGTTTTCCAAATACGCAGAGTTCATCCCCTTGCCAGAGGTGGCTAGAGTACCGACTGTGAGAGCAGCCTTCTCTGAGTGGTGGGTCACACACCATGGACCGCCCACCTCCATAGTCAGTGATCGAGACCCCAGATTCTGCAGTGATGAGTGGCAGTCCTACTGTAAGGACTATCTGCACTCACGACTGGACATGACTTCTGGTCACCATCGTGAAGCCAATGGTTTGGCTGAAGTGATGAACCAAGTCTTATTCCAGCTGCTGCGTCCTGTCATCTCTCCAGATCAACAGGACTGGGATCTTCACTTGGCGAGGGCACAGCTCATGTACAACATGTCTGTCCACTCCTCGACAGGGTTCAGTCCCTACCGGTTACACTGGGGGCGTGAACCACGACAGCCTCTCGATGATATCATCGATAAGGCTAAGCCTGATCTGACACCAGGCACATCTGAGTTCACCAGACGTTATCGTCTAGATGTGGAAAGAGCCCGCGCGAACTTGTTCAAAGCCCAAAAGGCTATGATCGAACAAGCTAATCGCCACAGGCGGCCTTCCCCCATCCGCACTGGTGATCATGTCTGGGTGGCCAGTTCTGAGTTGTCGAGGGAGGAGAATATCTCTCTCAAGTTGTTGCCACGTTACCTGGGTCCATGGCAGGTCCTAGATACAGTGGGCGCTGGTCCCTTTGGTCCGTGGTATGTCATCGACGTCCCGCTGGATCTACGCACCTACCCGGTCTTTCATGCATCCAAGCTGCTGCCTTTCATTCCAGCTGATGCATTCCCAGACCGGCCTCCTCAGTTTGGTCCCCCAATCCCTGGTAAGGGATATGATATCGACAGGATTGAGGACAAGTGGGGCACATGCCCCGATCGGCAGTATCTTGTGAGGTTTGCATTCCAGCCTCCTTCTGAAAGCAGATGGTTCTACAGAAGGGAACTTCTCAAGACAGCAAAGTCTATTGTCTTGCGATATGAAGCGGCTCAGAAGGGCAACCTTCCTCGCCGTTCACCTCGCCTGCATCCCTAGCTCGGAGGTCCTCGCTCCCGGGGAGGGTAAGTCTGCAATGACTTGCTGATTTCTACTGCCGAGATTGACTGCGAGGCTGTACACTAACCGTTAGGGTTAGATTCGTAATTTTGTTTGGCTGAGGGCTAACCGAGAGACCTGCCTGTAGGGAAATTCGTGAGGGACATAYCTGCAAATCTGGGARAATATAGGCCCAGTACTAACCCGARTTCCTACAGCTACCCTAACTGCGTATAGCAGGCCCKGGCTACCCCTAGGACAGACAGGMCCTAAGCGGCCTATGSTGATAGACTTTTGGCAGTTCATTTCTCGYGAWRGAGGGTTGGAGAAGCCAAGCAAATTGGTGGCGGTGTCTGTTTGCAGGCGGTATCCTGAGACTTCGCCGTTGACAGCAGCCATAGCCGGCCCAGTCTGAGTCTGCCATAGCTGGGGCATCCTCAGCGCATCTACCCCTGGGGGTATCTGCGTATGGCCGGGCTACATCGAGGCTCTACACTGTGTGTTCGTGGGTGGTGGCAGCCATATCTGCCTGTTCCTTCTTCAGAGTTGTCCATCGGCACTGAAGACTTCATCGCAGGACCTGTTCTTCATCAGGGTGGTTGGCGCTGGCCTCTGGGAGGCCATTCTGATGTGGCGCTACTAACTGGGCGTAGGATAGAGAGCGGGGTGTGAGTTCTGAGAGTGGCGAGATACTGGAACAAACTCTGTTACGATAATTGTTTGAGTTGGCTCATCATCAGTGTAATTTCAATTGTTATCCTTGCCGGTTCTACTTGTGATTGGTTGTTGGGAGTGTGTCACAGAGAGAGAAACACTGTGTGCCTTCTCCCCATCTGTGCATAGCTGTATTCCGCTGCCTACTTTGATCTGTGTGCAGTGTGGACTCTGTCTCCTCTCCCCCTTCTCTTATGCATGTATGGGCGTGTATGAGATTGTCTGTGTGTGAGTGGCGGTAAAATTCGTCAGACAACCAAGTTCATAACAATTGGGCCAAGGGTTCGGAAAAGAACAAGGGCCACATGAACAATCAAAGATGTTCAATCCAAACCAGGGGTTTCTTCTTTGCATCTGCACAAGCACTGAAGAATAAACTTGCAGAACTGAACACGTATACATATCTGTAGTCTGTCTAGAAAACCTTGGGCAAACACTTCAACTCCCGCTATTGAATGCAGTCGGCGATGAGCAGCTCTCAGCTGAGACGAGTCGATCTAAATAACCTTTGACAGCCGCATAAATAACAACAACTTGCTTTTCAATCGAGATGGGACTGTATTGTTGTTATTTCAGCACTTCTGTTAGTCTCTCGGCATCAAGATCTGAGACAAGTTGAGCAAAAGCAGCTACTTCACGATATTTTGTAAGTTCTAGTTTAAGAGTACCGCACACTTGTTTCATAGCTTTCAATTGAACTGCAGCACCTAGACGCCTTACAAACAATCCTGGTACATTAATAGCAGATCAGATTCCACGATAAACAGTTCTGTTCCCCAAAAAAGATTTGTCTGTCCGTAATAGCGAGATTACAGCCTCTTGGCATGCATGAGGTCAAGAAGACGTCAAAGAAAAAGCGGTGGGAAGTGTGGATGTTTCTTTTTTCTCTTTCTTTTTCTTTTTATTTGAACTTCGACAGGAATTCTAAAAAAATCAGCAATGCTGTCAGTTGCACCTGGTAGACGATAACCTACGTCCTGGTAGAAGATAAACCTACGTCCCAAAGTGATTTGCCGCTACGTCACCAAAATCGTCAACCCTTAGATCTGAAAGTCCCTTACATTGATGTTACTCACTGAATGCATATCACATACGCATTTTTGACTGTCGATGGTTAACTGGCATCAGTCGCATGAAGGTGACGGAATGACTGTGATGGAAAGGCACAAGGGAGCTTCGTCAGGTGACGAGCGAGAGACAACTGAAGCTCAGCATAAACAGGGTAAAGGCAAAGTCATCCTGGAGGTGAGTAGGAACCATGGATGTTTTTTTTTTTTTTGATTTTTTTTTTTTTTTTTTTTTTTTTTAATGCAAAAAAAGAATGCAGGCTGTCTCCTCATAGGGGGGGGGGACAGCCGCATTTACTATGCTATTTTCTTCTCTCAACATTTTCCATCTCACACTACGTACCTTGGACTGTGTTCTCGAACTGGTCTACCCACCTTTCAAACCTGCAAGAGGCACGGCAACCCAACACAGCAAGGAACCCAGCTCCATGTTTCGGAGGAGAACTACAAGGTTAGGATCGGATCGAAGAATACCCTTACTTACCTACGGAAACAGGGTGGAAGCTTAAATTCACTAGCCAAAGCTAAGCTATCCTAAGGTTATGGGTCTACGCCCACCTATCTCTGCTCTGTGCGGGGAGCAGTACCCAAGCTCCCAACTCCTAACACCCGGTGCGGGCTGGAAAGAGCTTCCACAACCAGCCAGGAGGCCCAAGCCAACAATCTCCGCTGGTGAACCGGAAGCATACCCCCAGGAGGTTGCGGGAATCGAAAGGACGATGTAACCCACGACCTTCTGAGCGCCACTTACGTGCTCAACCAACTGAGCTAGCTCGCTTGGGCAGGAACTCTGGATGTTGATCACTTCACCATTTCGTTTTGTCAGTTTTTCAAATGAAATTACTTTATTCAAGTTTATTGTGTTCATCTGATCGCATCTGGATTCGAACTTGGGTCTGTATTCCAACAGTTTGTGGGTGTACCAACTTAGCTAAGCTCGTTGGTTACCGCTTCAGATTCTTCAGAATGGAATGACAGCAAATCAGACTCTGGCGTTCCGCAAACAAACCTCTGAAACGCTAGCTCTCTGCTTCGTGTACTTGCGTGATTTCCAGTCTCGCACTGCTGCTGTTCAGTGTGCCTGTGACTGATAGGAGCTGACCTTTGAGGGTTGACCTTTCTTACGATTTTTGTGCTTTGACTCCAATCTTGCTGTCACTATGCGTTGTGTGTAACACTTGCGTTGTGTGACGCATGTGTGTGGGATCTACCTGCAATTGAATCTTTCTTACCTGTACGCACTGACCTAAAGGCGCCGACCTGTGGACACTGACTTGTAGGTGCTGCTGAGTGGCCAGCGCTGACTTGTAGGTGCTGCTGAGTGGCCAGCACTGACTTGTAGGCGCTGACCTCTGCCTGGGCGCTAAGTGTAGAAGATGGTTGACCTGTGCGCACTGACCTACAGGTGCCGACCTGAGGGCGCAATATTGCGGACACACTGCGTTGTAGGCTCTCCGTGACCTGTGGGCATTAAATGGAGGACATGCTAACATGTAGGGGCCTACAAAGTTTTTGAAATATTGCTCACAATATTGTGAGATGTAAATGTTCATGACTTAGCGGTCAGCATTCACATTTTTTAACTATATTAGTGAACAGATCATGAGCTCAAATCCTGCTGGCATCAACATACAAACATTTCAGCTGTACCTACCCTGCTTAAAATTCTTTCGTATATTGACTTTTTAGGGAAGAACAAAGGTGTAAATGCTCACGACATACTCCTCAGCATTTACAGTTTTGCATTACGCCTGAAGAAGGTCAGACAGAGGAAGCAGCTTCCACTAAAGGTCAGAGGTACAAAGCAGTGCTGTCGCTATGCGGCCACTGCACTGCGCACCCTGCCAAACTTTCACGGACTGTGAACAAGGAGGCTGACAGGGAGCCAATCAGCAGACCAGCGGAGAGCGGCTTCACAAGCAGCTACGTTAACCATTTTTCAAGCGGCCACCAGTTTTTTGGCGACCATTAGATTGTATCATCCAGATTGACCGGCGGCCACCATTTTTCTACCGGCCACCATTGTCCCTCCAGGCCACCTGAGGTTCAACAAGTCTACGCTTGTGCATAAATGAGGTTCGGCAAAAGATGGCTGGCGGTGGTGGTGGTTTAAAAATTCAAATATTGAAAGAAAGGTCTGCAGGTTTGGAAAGCTGGCAAACAGAGCTAGCAGCAATTTCGGATCTAAAGATTCTAAATTTTAAAAATATTGTATATTTACTAATATTTACTATATTATAATTTGTTGGATGGTTCAAAATTTGAAACGGCTTAAAAATTTAAAGTTTAAAGTTTAAAAGTTAAAATGGTTTTCAACTTCTCATAATTTATGTGTTTAATTTATTTTTTGGGATCTAGATTTCCCTATCCCTATACTCTTAAAAAATGCAAAGGGCCCAGCGAAATTCGGTGTGGAGGCGGGCGGGACTGGGGCAAGGTAAATCGGCCGCGGTGTTTCGTGGCGGGACTGCGGGCGGGAGTGAGGGAAATTCGGTGTGGCGGTTCCACGCGACACGCCCTGCTCTGCAGTGTCGGGAGGACACAAAGTCCC